ATTGCATTCATATGGGGGGAAGTGGTAGGAAGTGGAAGGAAGTGGAGGAAGGTGATATTTTAAAAAAAGAAACATGGAGAAAAAGAATACTTGAAAATTTATTTAAAAATAAGATTTGCCAGAATAAAAACTTCAGTATAAGGGTAAGAAGATAAAGTCAAGGAAGTCTCAGAAAAATAGACACAGAAAATAGGAGAAAAAAGATACGTGACATAAAGGATTCAATTCCAAGCATATAATTTCTAACTAATAAAGGAGCTGCAAAAAGAGAAACCCTGGAAAATGGATGGTAGGAAATTATCAAAGAAATGTTAGAATTCTCCCAGAGGTAAGGAATTCAGTTCTCTAGATTATAAAGGTTCACCAAGCATCTAGCTTTCTGAAGGAAAGAAGACCCATATTTATCTCACTAGTGTGGAATTTCAGAAGGACAAGGACAGAGAAAAATCTTAAAGCTTCCAGAAAAAATAAAATAAAAAACCAAATCACTAACCAAAAAGTGTATATCAGGTTAGCATCACCCATCTCATCAGCAGCCCTGGTTGCTAGAAGGCAATGGACCAATGGTGTTGACATTCTGAGGCAAGATTGTTTTTATTCTAGAAATTGGTACGAAGCCAATCTACAAATGTGAAGACAAAATAAAGACATTTTCAGATGTTCAAGGTTCAGAAAGTTTTCACATCACCTTTCTTCGGAAGTTACAAGGGAATAATCCAAGAAAGAGAAAGACATGCAAACTAAAAAGAGTAGACTCAACCAGGAAAGAAATATCCCAAGATAAAAGCTGTGCAGCAAGGCCTAGAAAACAACCAATACCAATGGGAGAACAAGAGAGTGCCCTCAGAAGAATGAAAAGTATGGTTAAGGGCTAAGAAAAGATTAAGAACAATGATCAAATTAACCTCTCCCTCCCATAAGAATGATGTGTGGGGCTGTTAGAAACAGGAAAAATAGAAAACTACAAAAAATTCCTGTAAATAAAAGTTAAAATGTATCATGAGTTTAAGCATTTGATGAAGTGGGTTTTTTTTTCAAGTCCCCTTGGATTATTGTTCTGGAAGTCAGTGTTATAGGCCCATATAATTTTTTGGTTAATCTTCACCAGAGGATATTTTTTCATTAATTTTTAGATAGAGTGGGAAGAGGGGGGGGGGGAGAAAGAAAGAAACATCAATGTGAGAGAGACACATCGATTGGTTGCTTCCTACATGACCCCAACCAGGGCTGGGGATTGAACCAGGTATGTGCCCTTGACTGGGAATCAAACCCAAGACCCTTCAGTCCTCAGGCCGACACTCTAATCACTGAGCCAAACTGAGCAGGGCTATAGGCCCATGTAAAAGCAAAAGTAATATAATTATCAAATAGCAAGGAGGAAGATGATGGAAGGAAGGGGAATAATATAACTTAGTCCCTCATCCTTCTTATTTTTAAATCGGTAGGCATTGTCTTAAAATTAACAAATTATTTTGATTAAGAAATAATCAAAATAAGTACAAAAAGAACTAATTTTTTTAAAAAGCCTAGGTATAGGGACAAGGAGAGACAAGCTTTTAAATCATATTCTGTTACTGATTTGTCACTAACATGTATGTATGTATTACTTTTGATTTTAAAAACAAAAAATTGGGGAACAAGAAATAACCCACGTTAGCAGGCTACATGTAAGGGAATGTTGGGGATAATACCAAAAGAGTGGGTTGAGGCCATATTGTAGACAACCTCAAATGCCAAGGCGAAGCAGTGCATTTAATTTGGGAAAACTTGGAAGAATTTTTCAGCAGTCTGGTCATATGACTGGAGCTGTCAACTTTCAGAAAATGAATTTTTCAGGAGGATGAATTGGACTGGCAGTGGCAGAAAGGGACACTGAGTAACCAAGCTAGTTTCAGTTTTCTACAGGAAAAGTAATAAAGGATACCTGGATGATACTGGAAATAGAAAAAGAATGAAAGGTATCCCCAGTACCATGCTTAATACATAGTAGGTGTTTTAGTATATGTTTATTGAATGAAAGAATCAAAGGGAGACTGCGTTTTATAGTGACTTGCTTGACAGAGGAAAGGAAGGGTAGACATCAAAGACAAAACCTTTCTTGAATAGTAACTGTTTTTTTGTTTGTTTGTTTGTTTGTTTTTTGAGATCCATAGCCTGATCATAGGTCACACTATGAGAATAAGGCTTAATCCTATATGCCTGCTACAAAATACAAAACTTTTCTAATTCAGTGATCCTTTCCTGCCTGTGTTGCATCTTTATTTGTGACAGACAACTGTAGGTATTTGCTATGAAATATAAGATAAGATATTATAGCCTAGCCCTGGCCGGTTTGGCTCAGCGGTTAGAGCATCGGCACACAGACCATATGAGTCTTGGGTTCGATTCCGGACAAGGGCACGTACCTCGGTTTCAGTCCGTCCCTGGCCCTGGTTGGGTCATACAGGAGGCAACCAGTCGATGTGGCTGTATCAGATGTGGCTGTATGACCTTGATGTTTTTTTTCTCTCTCTCCCTTCCTCGTACTCTGTCTGATAAATAAGTAGAAAAATATCCTCAGGTGAGGAATAAAAAATATATATTACAACCTAATAAGTCACATCCCACATACCCAATAAAGAAAAGTGGTAAAACATAGGGAACGTTACATAGTATAGTTCTTCCCAGCCTCATGTTTTAAGAGCTTAAATGGCCGTTAGATTCCAGTGAGGCTCTTGAACAGATTTTTTTCCCCATAGGAAGCTAAATGGCACATGCTGGAATCCAGCCCATGAATTTGGCCTCTAATCCACGAGTCTTCGAAGTGCTTAGTGACAGCACTTTGAGGTACAGAAAAGAAAGAGGAAAATTTCTTTATAGTTTCATTTCCATGTATAATATATATATAATTTAATAATACAAAAAGTACATGTATATAATTTATAAGCCAATAAGTATACAAATATTGGGTGTATGCTAAATTTTTATTACTAATAAGGATGTGCTACCAAAAGTTCAGAGACCACTTCTGTAATCAGTTTAGCTAACTGGCCCAAGAGATACAGACCAGTTACAAAGACTAGGGGAATAAATTAGTTTGTTCCTATCACTGATCTTGAATGGGGAACCACCAAGAGCCTCTGACAATCTTAGTGTAGTGTAATGCTAAGAGCTTTGATTTAGATGTTATTAGAGGTCGGAAGACCTGCAATTGAACCCTAAGTCTGCCAGTTATTGGCTTGTGATCTCTTTAAACTTCAGGCTGTATTCAAACCATTTTGCCTTTAAAAGATCTGTCTAATTTCTAATGGTGAATGGGGGAGTCCGTAGAGAATTGTGAAATGTTTTTGCTTGCTCTGGGGTATATTCCACTGCGTTATCATCACTTCTCTCTAACATTGATATGTAGTCAAAGATTTGTCATGAAGCATAAATATAAGATAAAAGGTGAAAAACACCTAACCTAGGCTTGATACATGGTAGGTGCTCTTAATAAATATTTGCTGGATTTTCCTAATATAGTTATGAAAAGCTATCACTCTCAGGCCCTATACATTGTTCTCATTTGGAGAGAAGTGCCCAGGAAGGGGAGTCGAAACTCAGAGTTAGCCCATGCCGGATTCCACTCTAATACCTACTGCACAGGATTATTGTGAGAATTAAAGGAGCTAATACATGTGAAATGACAAAGGACTACACCATATTAGGGGATTGTTTTTTGTTGCCAAAGTTTTTAGAGAGTCTAAAATGATTAAGTTTCCTAAGTAATAGGACAGTCTACAAACTATAGCTTCTGTCTTATAGAGTAAAATGGTGGGCCTGGATTCCTTTTTCATCAAACTCTTTCAGGAGCTCTTTTTGCCTTTTACTGCTCATTTTCAAAAGCTACCGCATTAGATACCCTGCTATATCTTTTTGAGAAATCTATGTAATTCCCTATATTGCCAACATTCTGTGAGTGTCTTAGAAAATGTTAATTGATCTCAAACATTTATGGAATATAATAGGAATAAAAATAATTGTTTATGTTTGTGTAACACATTTAGATTCTACTAATAATACTTATGCATTAGAAAAGATAATATTGTAGGCAAAAAGAAGATAGCCTTTGACAGACTTATGTAATTTCTGGTTTTGTTTTATTGTAGTTTTTGGCAGTAACATATAGTATGTGTCTGATTAAATAAAGTTTACTTAATCAGATGATCTCAGGGTGAATAAGTAATTGAAATTTTATGTATATTTATATATTTGTCAACCTTTCTCTTCTTCTGACACCTTCTCTCAGATATACTGGAAAGTCCGCTGTCTTTCAAAATCCTTCTCTTAACCCTGAGACCTTCCACTGTTCCATCATGCTGAATAGTCATATTTTTCTGTGTCTAATCCTCCAAATGTTAGATCTTTTTTTATTTAACATTTAGAGTTCATTTGTTTTACAGTTATTCCTTTCTCTCCTCTCAGATCTCAGATAGTCTTAGAAACAGACCATAACTTAGGTATTTCAAACAGAATAAACTTAAACATACTAATGCAAATGACCTTGCTGACGGTAGAAATCTCTACTTTTACCCTGAAATATTTTTCAACCCCTCTTCCCAATCAACAGGGTTTATTTTGTACATAGCATTAGTTCTACCTAATGCAAATACATGTCAGAACACAGCACATTACTCTGATCTGTTTTCACACTTCTTTGCATCCTCTGCCCTCACCCCATGAAAACTATTCTAATTATCTCCCATAGGGAGAATGAAGATTTGAAAATACTCAGTGCTAATGTTATGTAGAGGTTAAATTGGCCTATGGCTGGCATTATTCTGTCTCTGACATTTAACTTGAAAGTGTATTTGCTTGGCATATGTTTTCTGTTTACTTGGTGTATCAGTAAAGGTGGTTAGTGTATGTTAATTTGAAGATTTCTAATACGATACCCTAAAGTTATTTTGCTTGATTTATACCTGGAGGAAGTAGCTCTGACTCTGTTTTTTTTTTTTTCTCCTTTATATTTGCATCAACAGGAAGAAGGCAGTATCAAAGAAATTGCAATCACACATCATGTAAAGGAAGGACATGAAAAGGCAGATCCTTCCCAATTTGAACTTTTAAAAGTATTAGGGCAGGGATCATTTGGAAAGGTAAGTCAAGAGTATATACTTTTTTTAAAGTTGTTTTTTGGAATTTATGTTTATTTCATACAGATGGGGAACAGAAATATTTTATGAAATACTACCGATCTCCCTATAAGCAGTATTTTTTTCTGTTTTTACATTTCTATCAATAAGCATGGGAAAGTTAATGAAATCATTCAAAAATACATTGAAAACTTTCATAAATTGGCAGTATTCACTTCATTATTTATATTATCTTCAAGACCATATGGCCTCTCTAATTGCACTTCTTGAGTGATTAAAAATCACAAAATATTCCCTGGAAACACTGGCCTCTTTGAGTTCTCCTGTAGAATTGAAAGGCAGTCTTACAGTGCATCTCAGTCTTTCCTCTACAGTATCCCTAATACCAGCAGGAAGTGAATGGTACTCCCAAGGAACTAGTGTGGGGGTTACCACAACAAGTATGAAATTGGGGGGACTTATAGTTTATCTTTAAAACGAATGCAAAGGTTGCATTCAATCAGTGATATCTATGTTTGTTTTTAATATTAAAAATATTTCCCAAAGCTACCAACTAAAAATTGCTCCAGCAGATGTAACATCTTATATCAGTTTTCTTTGAGTATTCTTTGTCCCCCTGCCACACACCTCAGGAGAACTTCCTGTGCTCCATTTTGAGAAGTACAGCATTATAATTACTACTACTTGAGTTCTCTAGCCCCTTTCTCAGCAAGAGGAAAGTTCTGAGATCGCATTCAGCTTTCACATTGCAGAGCTTCCTTACCACCTCTCTGTGAGGAAACCTTTGAAGATATGCTTTGCAAGGTTTAAAACAACACCAGTTTAAGCTCTCTTGTGTGTTTTCATGGGACTAGTTAGCAATTCTTGGCTAACATAGATAATTTGTTATAGTCCTTAACCTCTTTCAAACCCAAAGTGATGCTTTTAATCCAAATATAGATTAGGCAGCAGAACATAATAGTTGCAAGTTTAGCCTCTAGGTCAGCCAGACTCGGATTCATTTTTTCCCCTCTAATTACTTGCTGTATGTGCTTGAGCAAGTTACTTAACCTCTTGGGACCCCCTTTCTTTTCTTCGAGTTAGCCATTTAGTATTGAAGTTCCTCAAGTTTCCATTCTAGGCTGCTTTCTCCTCTGTACTACCTACTAATTTCTCAATGCCCACTATCGTTTTTTCTAATACTTTATTGATTTTAGAGAGAGAGGGAGGGAAAGAGAGAAACATCGATGAGAGACAACATCAATTGGCTGCCTCCTGCATGCTTCCCATGGGGATTGGGCCCACAACCTGGGCATGTGCCCCGACCAGGAATCAAACCAGTGACCTCTTGGTGCATGGGTCAACGCTCAGCCAGTGAGCCACACCAGCCAGGCTCAATGCCTACTGCCTTAATTATAACCAACATACAGCCAATGTAACAGATTTATATCTCCAATTCTTCTAGTCCTGCCCTTCCCTCTCCACATACCCCCTACCACCAATGTGATCCATCAGCAAGTCCTGTGGATTTAGTAAAGATTTCTCAAATCATGCCTGTCCTTTCTTTCTCCACTGCCATTCCTCCAGTCTATGCACCACCATTTCTCCCTGGGCTCTTGAAGGTGGCTCCTAACTTGGGCTTCACAAATTTATTCTTGCCTAAAGCCATTATTTACATGTCAGCCAACATGAACTAATCTTGTGTTTCATCCCCTTAACCCTTTAGTAACCTTCCTTTGCTTTTAGAATAAAGACAAATTGTGAAGATGGCTGAGGAGCCCCTAGGTCTGGCCCCTGGCTACCTCAGGATTACTTTATATACTTTTCACTCTCTGTGTCCTGGCCACATTGGCCTTCTTTTTCAGTCCTAAGCACCAGGTTCCATTCCACTAAAAGCCTTTGCACATGCCCTTTGCCTGAAACACTCTGCCCCACCCCCATGCCTTTCTCATCTGGTTAGCTCCTCTCCTGCTTATGGCCACAAAGAAGTCTTCCCTGCCATCCTGACTCGGTCATATTCCTCTATTTTAACCTCTCAACTTTATATTGCTAATCTTCAAAGTACTCACCACAATTACAGTTTTTTCATTTGTATAATTATTTGTTTATTGGCTATCTCCCCCAGTATATTCTGTGTTCTATGAGTGCAGGGGCCGTATCTTGTACCATGTCTCAGCATTGGACTGGTAGCACAGTATCTAGCATATAATTCTAGAAAGGAATTAATGAGTAATTAATAGTCCTGACCTCCTAAGGGTAGTAGTGAGAATTAAATGATGTAAGGCCAAGTACATAACATCCACTATGAAATTGTATTATGCAATGTACATGGATAAACCCAAGTAGAGGGTTTTATTTCTATACATTAGATTTTCAAGGAACACTATTTCAGTCTCCTGGAGTTAGTGTGCTTCTCCCTTTATTTCTTTAAATACCTTACTATAAATAGCAAACATTAAAAACTAGGCGTCTTTTTCCTTACTCATCCTAAAAAGCCAATCCAAGCCAAGGAAACAGGGATGACCTGTCAGAGCCTAGAATAGCTTCATGGGGGAGTTTGAAAGGTCAGAAATGCACTGGTAGGGGAAGATCTGATGGCATCTGGGGCTGCTGCTCCTGCTATGCTTGACTGGTAACAGGCCAAAGAGACTGGATTAAGAGTGCCCTAAACAGGAGCACAAAACTGGGTGGCTGGCTTGGTTCTTGTCCTGATATTTCCACTGTAACACTAGGCAAATTATTTAACCTCTAATCCCTAGCTTGGGCAGCTATAAAACAGGCATTGCTTAGTAGGTCTACCTCCCCAAATTATCGTGATGATGTATTAAAAGTGCTTGTGAACGTCCTTTACAAACTAAGAAGTACTGAAAAGTGTTAAGAATGTGCTTTCAGCTCTGGCTTGGTGGCTCAGTTGATTGGAACATCATCCCACACACCAAAAAGTTTCGGGTTCAATTCCTGGTCAGGGTACATACCCAGGCTGCAGCTTTGATCCCTGTTTGGGATGTGTACAGAAGGCAGCTGATCGATGTTTCTTTCTCACATCACTATTTCTCTTTTTCCCTCCCTTCCTCTCTAAGAATCATAAAAACATATTCTCGGGTGAGGATTAAAAATTAGATAGTTTTTAAAAAAAGAATGTGTTTTCAGAGAAGCATGAAAAAAGTTTGGAATCCACAAGGAGAATTTTTCTTGTACAATGGGCCAAAGAAGCTTGATTAGGGATTTTTTTTTTTTTTTTTTTTTTTTTTATATAAATTAGAAAGGGGGAAGGGGGAAAAAGAGAGACATCCATATGAGAGAGAGATATCGATTAGTTGCCTGCTTTGTGATCTTGGGGCCAAGGATGGAACCTACAACCAAGGTATGTGCCCTTGACCGGGAATCAAACCCTTGATTCTTTAAGGGTCCTTGGCCAAACCAGCCAGGGCTTGATTAGGGAATCTTAAGAGTGAACAAATATCAGATAAATCCTAATTACCTCTACTCAATTAGAATTTATTTCTGTTCAAAAATATTAATTATCTCTGATAACAACATTTGAACATCATTCCATCCTTAGAAACCACCCTGATTAAGAATGCTTTGCTTGCCCAGCCAGTGTGGCCCAGAGGTTGAGAGTTGACCCATTCACTAAGAGGTCACTGGTTCAATTCCCGGTCAAGGCACATGCCCAGGTTGTGGGCCAAATCCCCAGTGGGAGTTATGCGGGAGGCAGCCAATCGATGTTCTCTCTCATCGATGTTTCTATCTCTCTCTCCCTTTCCTTCTCCTCTCTCTAAAAATCAATAAAGAAAAAAATATTTTTAAAAAGAATGCTTTTCTTTCCCTAGGTTGGCTCACTGCTAACTTGCTGGAAGGAACTAAAGGGTGGTGCATGGTGAAGGAGGCGAAGGGGAGTGGTTTGGGGAGAGGAACACACCCTGCATCAGGGTTTCTGTGCAAGTTCTGGTACTGTTCAATTCAATTGAAGTCATTGCACATTACCTTTGGCACAATTTCTCAGAGTGAGGAATCCAGCTTTGCCCTAGAATCAGTTGAATGAATCTTTTTGTGTATGTGTGCTAATATAATAGCCTAGTATGCTAATGCAGATAGAGAGCTGACCCTAAATTAATTCCTGATTGTAATTGTCTCTTCTTCCTATCTGTGGCAGCTTAATAACACTGCTAGAAAATAATAGGAAGGAGAAAAAGAGTTCAAATTCTGGTCCATTTACAAGTCTGTTTAAAGGTTTGATGGAAAAGAACATGAAACTAATAATCTAAATGAGTAGAAGAGATTTACTGATAGTTTTGTATTGTCCATGTTATAGCGTAACCACTAACTATTTAGAGCAGCCATGATTGGTTTTGTATAAATCTCACACTGTATCTCAAAAGGAGCTAAAAATGTTTGGAAAATGGAGATTCTCAATAGTATACCTAGGAATTGTCTTCTTCATATTTAGGTGTATGTGGTCATTGATTTTTAAAAGGTACGTTCTTACTAAGTTACATTAAATATTTGTGAATAGGCTTATTCAGTGTGTTTTAAATCATTCTGCCCAGCAGTGAGAAACTTATGTGCAGTTTTCATATATAGGAGAGACTATTTATCAATGAATAATTATATAAACAGAAAATTGTGGTCAAGGGGAACTCCAATATAACAATTTTTATGGAATCAGAAGAATTTTTGTTTTGTTAAAAAGCAGAACTATTGCCACATGTGCTATACTTTAAACATGTTAGACTTTTCTTTAATTGCTACATATTTTAAAGATTTTTTATTCTGTCTAATATGTTACATACTCTTTTGGATTTGGCAAACAACAAAAGAAATATCAGAATCTTTCTAATGATATAACAGGGGTCTTATTTTAACAATGGTATAGTTTGTGACACTTTGTAAACTTATTTTCTCTTATTTAATACAGGTTTTCTTAGTCAAAAAAATCTCAGGCTCAGATGCTAGACAGCTTTACGCCATGAAAGTATTGAAGAAGGCCACATTGAAAGGTAAATGCTGCTACTGTTTGTAATGTTCATGTAATGTAAACAAACTAAAAGATCTCAATAGACATCATGTGACCCCCCTAGACCACTTATATTCTGAATCTGTACCTGTTACCATCTTTAAATTTAGTCTTTCTTTTAGTGAATTTTTCCTACTGGGCTGGGAATCATATGACTAGTGAGAATGGGAGTTGCCATGTTTTAAAAGAAGTATTAATGAGTTCATCTTGGGCTTTAGAAAAGTAAACATTTAGAAGACTAAAACTAGATTTGATGCATCTTCAAATTAATATAATTATTTTAATGTTTTGAAAACGTACTGTTTTACTGAATGCAAAATAGATTTTGTTCTAAGGATTCTGTCATCTTGACTTCTGGTCTCCAAATAAGTTTTTATTTCAAGCCTCTGATTTTGAAAAAAATGTAATGTAACATTTGGCTTTTATAGGTAAACAGTCATTTAGAAGAAATTGTCCATAGATTTTTAAATACTTAAATCTTTCTCTTATTTAGTAATATTACTTATTTTACCACAAACTTTCTAGTTTCATATATTGATTCCTAACATCATTTTTTTCCCTCTTCAATTTACCTGTAATTTCTAAAGCTTTTAAATGTTCTGGAGGAAACACTAGTGATGATCATTTATTATTTCCAATGTTATTCTTCCCAACTAGTTACCCACCCTGGGCATTATCATTGTTCCAAGAAATTTCACCTTCCTCTATAAACATCATCCTTTGCTTTCTTTTTCTTGTTCCCTTCTTGAGTGTATTTTATTTATTTCTTATCTGGTCTCTACCCCCTGCCTTACTACTTAACTTGATCATGCTAGGACCAGAGAACTAAATTAATATCCTCAATGCCCTATTTTATATCACTACTTTTATAACTTTATAGTCATGAATCCCATGTTATAAAACTGCAGTAATTGTAACATGATTTACATTATTGAGGATTTAGACATCAACATAAATATTGAAAAATAGAGGAATGTTTAGAAAATTATGGGATATCACTTAATAGGATATTATTTAAATGAAATATTTAAAATATAATCACAAAAATGAACTTAATTGAAAAGATATAAGTGAACAATTATAACGGATTTGGCTACTATAAGTATGTAAAATTACATAGATATAAGCTATAAAAGAGGACACAGAAAAGTGAAAATAGGAACTTCCAGTCAAGATGGCAGCATAGGTAAACGCGATATCGTGTCCTCCCACAATCACATCAAAGTTACAACTAAACTACAGAACAACCATCATTCAAAACCGCCTGAAATTCAGCTGAATGGAAGTCTTACAACTATGGAATTAAAGAAGCAGCCACATCGAGACTGGTAGGAGGAGTGGAGACGGATGGGCTGGTCTTACACCCATGTGTGGCGGATAAAATTCAGGAGGATACATCAGCTGGGAAGGTTTTCCCTGAGGACTGAGGGGTCCCCATCCCACATCAGGCACCCCGCTTAGGGTTCCAGTGCCAGGAAGAGAATCCCCATAACTTCTGGCTGGAAAAACCAGCGGGAACTGAGGCCCAGCGAGGCTGAGGCTGCTGGAGCCCCCGGCAGCTCCTCTTAAAGGGCCCGCGCATGGACTTACTCAGACTTGCTCCCTCTAAGCTCAGAGGGGAAGCAGCTCAAGGGGCGCCAGAGACATACAGGGAAGAACTGAGCTGTTTGGCATTGGAGCGAGGGCTGCAGAGGGGGCTTTCTCCTGGACAGATGTGTTGTCAGAGGCCTTTGTTCCTTTGGTGAGCCCTTCCCTGGGGTGGCAGACAGCCACCATATCTGGGACTCCAGCAACCTGGCTCACACTGGTCGCCCCGCCCTGGTGATTCCCTGAGGTCTTGCCCCACCCAACTTTCAGGCCCACCCAAGCTGTTGCCAGTTGCTTTACCACAGGATTGGCCTGTCTTGAATCCTGCTTCAGGTTTTTCTAAATTCTGTCAAACAAGCAGCATCTGGTCTCAGCTAGCTCCATACCTCTCGTTAAGTAATACACAGAAACAAACACAGGGGGGCAGCCAAAATGAGGAGACAAAGAAACAGGTCCCAAATGATAGAACAGAACAAAACTCCAGGAAAAGAACTAAGCGAAATGGAGATAAGCAACCTAACAGATGCTAAGTTCAAAACACTGCTTATAAGGATGCTCAATGAACTTAGTGAGAACCTCAGTGAACTTAGTGAGGGCCTCAAGAACATAAAAAAGGACCAGTCAGAAATGAAGGATGCACAGTCAGAAATGAAGGAGGCACTAACTGAAATAAAGAATAATTTACACAGATTTGATAGTAGAGTAGGTAAAGCCAAGAAGCAAACCATTGATTTGGAATATAAGGAAGCAAAAAACACCCAATCAGAACACCAAAAAGAAAAAAGAATCCAAAAAAATGAACAAAGTGTAAGGAGCCTCTGGGACAACTTCAAGCGTGTCAACATTCGCATCTTGGGGGTGCCAGAAGGAGAAGAGAGAGAACAAGAAACAGAAAACCTATTTGAAACAATAATGGCAGAAAACTTCCCAAACTTGGTGAAGGAAATAGACATACAAGTCCAGGAAGCACAGAGAGTCCCAAGCAAGATGAACCCCAAGAGGCCCACACCAAGACACATCATCATCAAAATGCAAAAGTTTCAAGACAAAGAGAGAATCTTACGTACAAGGAAGTTCCCATAAGACTGTCTGCTGATTTCTCAAAAGAAACTTTGCAGGGCAGAAGGGAGTGGCAAGAAATATTCAGAGTGGTAAAAAGCAAGAACCTACAACCAAGATTACTCTATCCTGCAAAGCTGTCATTTAGAATCGATGGCCATATAAAGAGTTTCCCAGACAAGGAAAAGCTAAAGGAGTTCATAACCACCAAACCATTATTATATGAAATGTTGAAGGGTCTTCTTAAAGAAAAAGGTAAAAAATATAAACAAACAAAATGGCAATTAATACATATCTATCTACAATTGAATCTACAAACAAAATAACAAGCAGAACAGAAACATTCTCATAGATACAGAGAACATTTTGTTGGTTGCCAGATGGGAGGGGGGTTGGGGGAGTGAGTGAAAGAGGTGAAGGGACCAAGAAGTACAAATTGGTTGCTAGACTGACAAACCTCAAATGGAAGGGGGTTTGGGGGGTGGGAAGAAATAAACGAAAGAACTTATATGCATATATGCATAACCAATGGACACAGACAACAGTGTGGGGAAAGGCAGGAAGGGGGCGGGAGAGGGGAGGAGGGGGTCAGTGGGGGAAAAATGAGGAACATTTGTAATACATTCAATAGTAAAGATAAGTTTAAAAAAAAAAAGAAAAGTGAAAATATTTGACTTACTGGAATTGTAGACTGCTGAATAATTCTTGATATGTTCTTAAATTTAATTTTTATTTTTGTCAAAATGATATGTGTATGGAGTCTTATAAAATAGCAGCACTTTATCTGCCCTCCTCTCTATCCCAATTCTTGACTCCCAGAGACAGTGACTTTTACCTCTTTAGCTAATGCTCCTGCCATTTACCTCAATACTCAATACTGTTATGTTGCAATTTTTTTATTGTTTTCACTTGGAGACATAACCTATTGACATCCTAACATGGAAGATTAGGATTTAGTTCTCTTACACTACCACCTACACACAAGTTCTCTCTTTATGTTTTGTTTTTGTTATTACAGCTTTATAAAAATTGTTACTAGCTGAGCTAAATGATATACTGGAGCCACATTTCCTTAGCATCTGCCTGTTTCTCAGTTTATGTACTTTCTAGTTTTGGTGGAACACATCCTCTAGTAGCTATCTCAGAAAGAGTGAGTGAATAGTAAATTTTTGTGAACTTGCATGTCTGAAATACCGTTATTCTACCCCTTCACTTAATTTATAATTTGGCTGGGTGTAAAATTCTAGGTCAGAAATAATTTTTTCTCAGATATTTGAAGGCATTGTTTCCATTGTCTTCTAGTTTCCTGTGTTGAATTATGGAGTTTATTGCCATTCTGATTCCCTGCCCTTTGTGTGTAAGCTCTTCTCCTCTTTGGAGGTCTTTAGAATCAATCTACTCTTTATCCCTGGTGATCTGAAATTTGTATAGCGGTGTTTCTTATTGTGGATATTTAAAATTCATCATACTAGATATGGAATGTCTCTTTGAATTTAGAAACTCATTTCTTCAAGTTTTGGGAAAGTATTCTAACCCTTCCATTGACCTTCTTGTTTCTACCATATTTTTTAATTTCTTAAATGTTCCTTGTGCTCTAATTATTCCATTTTTTTAAAAAAAAAACTTTTATTATGGTGTCAACCATTTACAGAAACAGAAGAATAGAGAACCCTTATATACCCTTCTCTCTGCTTCATTATTTCTCAACTCATGTTCATTCTTTTTATATGTTCTACCCCTTCCCAAACATTGTAAAATTTCTTTCACAAATATTTTAGTATGTATATCTAAAAGATACAGACCCTTAGAAGAAGTAATATAACTTTATCATATCCCTAAAATTAATATATAGATATCCAGTGTTCAAATTTCCAGTAGTCCCTATTATTATAACTCATTTTTCTTTTTGCAATTTGTTTGAATCAGGATCTATGTAAGGTCTGTATTTTGCAGTTGAAGTCTTTAATCTATGAGCTCTGTCTTCTTTTCTTTTCTTTTCTTTCTTTTCTTTTTTCTTTTCTTTTCTTTCCTTTCCTTTTCTTTTCTTTTCTTTTCTTTTCTTTTCTTTTCTTTTCTTTTCTTTTCTTTTCTTTTCTTTCCTTTTCTTTCTTTTTATTGTACTTTATTTGTTGAAAACACTCCTTCCTTCCTCCCTACCTCTTTTAAAGCTTTTTGTTTCATGGGTGCCATATGGTCTTTGCTTTCTTGGTAGACATCATTTATAAAGTTGAATTTTGTTTTGTTTAGGTATTTTTCTGTTCTTTACATTGTCTCTCTCTTACTTTATCCCCCCTTTTTCTGTTTATTCTGATAACTTTCTCATGTTCAAATGCCTGGGGATCTTTTGCTGTCTTTTCCTTGCTTAAGAGTGGGTTAACAAAAAGCTGATTGGAAAGGATTCTGTGGCAAGAATTTGCTTATTACTCATTGTCCTCCTTCCCTTAGGATTAGATTTTAGCTTTCTCTGATCTGCTGTGTGTGTTACCACTTACTCATCTGCTGCTGCTGCTGCTTCCTCTCCTGTTCTCTGTCCTTGTGAGTCTGTGCATAATTTTCCATTGTCATTTCAATGGCATTTTGGAATACAGTAGAAAGTCATCCATGTTTAACCAGAAGTCTCTTTCCATTTTAAAGTTCCTATTAATATAATAAGAGGGGTCAAATAAAAGTCAATATTGTTAGGTTGAGCTTATGGGGATTTTTGTCCTAATAAAGTAGTTATTGGGCCTAAAAGATTTTGTAAACCATTGTTTAAAGCAGTTTCTTAATACATCATCCTAGAAATATAAACAGCATTTCTTCGTGTTTCTTCTCATGTTAAAGTCAAGGAGGGCTTAAAAACTAATAACTAGTATATGAGAAAAATTATTTCAGAAGAATGTAGTTGCTTTGCCAGCATGAGTCAGTATTAACAAATTCTGTATTAGGGTTTGGAGTATAACCAACATAAAACATGCCCTTTTTATTTCATTTTAAAAACAGCTTTATTGACCTGAAACTAATAGAAAATAATATTTAATGTAATTGAATGTAAACTGTAATTGAAAAATAAAATTAAAAAATACAAATAAATAAATTTAAAAACATTTTAAAAAGTAGCTTGATTGAGGTTTAACTGCCATATAATAAACACATAAAACATGCCTTCTTATGAATCAGTATATCCTAATTAAAATTCCTGATTATAGGATGATTTATATGTGTCACTAGATCTTTACATAAATAAAAGAAACAAAATTATAATTATTACACAGTCCTACCTCAGACAAAATAAAGGAATTCTTTAGTGAGGGAATCTTTTCACACATTTTCAACTAAACAAAGTCTCATCAGTGTTACATATAAGGAACTATCTCACAAGATAATCATAATAGAAAGAAATCATCTTGTTCTAGCCTCTCATGTTATAGAGAAGGTAGCAGGAAGTCCCTGGGCAGTGAAAGGATGTGACTAAGGTAACTCCTGTAGTTATTTAGCATGGCCATTAAACTATAGCTTTTGACCCCCAAATAATTATTCTTTTCATCATGGTAGAATAATAGAAGAGGGATATACAGTAAATATATTGATGGATATTTTTTGCTGCTTACTAAACAGAGGAGTGGTTTTTAAATGATATGCTTTGTAAGGTCTGTATAATTTTTTTTAAGAGGTAGAAATTTGGATCCAGCTTTAAGGTAATAGAAACTTTATCCAAGATTGTATGGGTAGCAGTGGAAAAAGGGTATATTTGGGCTTGTCTGAGATAGAATTATCAGTAGGCCTAGGTGATGAACCTCATTCACATAAATAATAGAAAGGATCTGTTGGATATAAGACACCAGAGTTATAGTGATAGGACAAGATAATGAAATCAGAGGTTGGTATTGAATTTGATACACTAGCTGGACAAGTAAGTGAAAAAAGGTTCACAGACATTGAGAGCAATCAATTTCTATTCCTGGTTTGACCATCTTCAGTCACTGGCACCAAAATCTCCTAGTTGGAAGTGGAAAACCAGTAGAATGGGAAACAGGACTTTTAAAGTTTCTTTGTTTATTCTTCTCAGAGGTCTTATTTCTGTGTTTTAAATATCTGTAATCACCTTAAATTGAAAAGAAAACCATCTCATCTTTCTCTCTGACCCCCTCACAAAAAAAGATTATCTTTACCATTCTTTCTATTTAATCTTTGGCACAACTATTTAGTCAGTCTGGCCTGAAAATAGAAATTATATAGGATTTATCCTTATTATGCCACAGAAAAAATTGAAACCTTAATGAGTGATCATTTTCACCTCTTGAATCCATTGAGCTGCCAACAGTTATAATACTTCTAAGATGGATTGTAATCATTTATTTACTTGTATATCATTCCCACCAGATTATGAGCTTCTTGAACATTATTTTATTTGTATTTGTTTCACAGTGCCTGGCACGTAGAATTGCTCAGCAAATTTTTGGTTGGTAAAAGAGAACTTTGCTTACAGGGTCAAATGTAAATTCTTCCTGGCATTTCAAATTGTCCAGAATCTGTATCCTCCCATCTTCACCTCCCCGCTTTCCACACTGATACGGTTCCTTCCTGTTCACCATGCATGCCTTCATTTTCCTGCTTGCACTGGTACTCCATTCCTGGACTTTGCTTCTCTAGGCCCAGCCCTTCCCACCCATCTGAATTCCACTCTAAAAGTCCCTAACACTACCTGTTCCCTCTAGCCTTCCTATGCAAGTAGCACTGATCGTTTCCTCCTTTGAATTCCTGTACTACTTATTGCTGGTAATAAATTATTTTGCCCCTTTTCATATCCATAGTGCTATAGCTACTATTTAATTGAATGTCTCTTATATACCAAGATCTGGGATGTATAAACTTTATCTCACATGGTCACACAGCCCCCAGAGGTATGGTGGTATTATCCACATTTTATAGATGAAAGGTAACTGAGGTTCAGAGAGTTTAAGTAAGTAGCTTGCTCAAGGTTACGCATTCTGAAACCAGATCTTTCTAACTCCACAAAGTCTTTGCTCCATCATCTGTACCACATTATTTCCTCTCCCTCTCCCTGCTCCCTCAAAACAGACCTTTTAGGGTGTATCCGTCCTTCCTCACAACTGCCACATGTTCTAGATGCTTAATGAATGTTTGTTGAATTGAGTTGATAGGGATGGTAGGGTTATTGAAACCTATTCCCTTTTTTGTTTTAATATTTCATTGGGATGCTTTGCTTTTTAAATGTTGCTCTCTTTTGGTCATTTTTTATAACTTTGTAAAATACTTGTAAATTTGATGTGAAAGCCAATATCAAGTATGTTCTCTGTATTTATTTTCTTTAACTTGAAGCACAGCTTTTTATAAATATGTACAATTTCTGGTTATATAATTTAGTAAAATATAGTTATTAATTTTGAAAGTTCAAGAGTAAGATGTATAAAATGTAATTTACTTTTTTTATACATATAAGCACAATTTTATTTAAAATAAGCACCAAAGACATTTCATTTTAAAGATTGTCTCTGAAAGCAATTGCAATATAGCCATATATGCAATATTTTATAGTTCGAGATCGTGTTCGGACAAAAATGGAGCGTGATATCTTGGTAGAAGTTAATCATCCTTTTATTGTCAAGTTGCATTATGGTAAGTTTTAAACCACCTTTCACCTCACTCCTTCACCTCAATCCCCATTCTAGTACATTCAGATATGCTAATGTGTATAAATATGTATTTGTGTATATTTATGTGTTTAGCAGATACATATAGTAAAGTCATAGAAATTAAATAATTACTTAAACACACTTTAGAAACTTCTATCACATTTAGTTTATGTTTCTTTTAAACATTATAGTGCCTGAGTGGGTAGCCATAGGAACAGATAATAATAATCATTTTATGAATTAATAATAATGTACCAGCCTTTTTTTGGTACATATGTGTTAGCTCAACTTAAAAACAAGAAAGATCCCTAATGTCCTGAAACTTTTATTGCCTCTCTTTCCCTCAAAGGTATGTGTACTTTTCTTCAGTGGGTAAATGTATGGTGATTCTTTTGTGTAATTAAAGCTAACCAACCCACATTTTTTCTGTAGTAAAATGAGGTGGTTTTTGTATTTTGTTTCATATTTAAGTAAGTCTTTCTCTTTGTGGAATTTTTCATATTGATTATATGTTTTTAAACTATTGTATTCCTGAGAGGCTATTGCCTGAAGAAAATCGAACAAATGTTCTAGTAGTTTCATAAAAAGAAACACTGCATTTAACATTTCTATGTGGAAACTAAGAAATCAGTGGTTATCTCCTAAACAATCAGTTTAGATCTATGATATAATTATTAACTTGCTAAAAATAATCCTTTGTGAATGAATTTACCTAATATAAGCCTAAGACAATAAACGATGGTGGATTAAACAAAAATTTTTATTTCTTCATTCAGCTTTTCAAACTGAAGGGAAGTTGTATCTTATTTTGGATTTTCTCAGGGGAGGAGATTTGTTTACACGCTTATCCAAAGAGGTATATAATTCATCTTTATTTTTAATCTATTTATACTTACCCTGTTTCAACTAAAGTTTTGTTATATTTAAATATTATGTTTATCATATTTTCTCTAGTGGCACAACATTCTTACATTGAAGTATCAGAGTCAAAAGGAGTTCTTTTTCTACCTTTTGAATTTATTCTGAAAGTAGGACTTAAATTAATTATCTTGGTCTTTCGTCCTGCTTCTTTTAGTTATAGTTTTTTCAGAAGCAATAATATATCAATAATATATTCCTAAATAATTGGTAGTGGAAATTTAGCATGCATTTTAAAGATTACTTTTTATTTCTAAGATGTTACTGTGGTGGGGCGACAATGACACCATCTCAATATACTTGTTACTTAACGAAATGCAAAATTATTTCTCCCAAGTGCATATTTAGCATTTAGTAAGTAATTACTTGACTGTGTGATAATTTTTACAAATTCCTTTCATACATAAATTGTGGGTAAAATGATATGTAATAGCATATTTATAATTTTTGAATATTTAAACTCTAGGATGGAACTTTAAATGAAAATTATAGACAAAAAGAAAATAAAGACAGAAAAATTATTATTTTATTTTAGGTGATGTTCACAGAAGAAGATGTCAAATTCTACTTGGCTGAACTTGCACTTGCTTTAGACCATCTACATAGCCTGGGAATAATCTATAGAGACCTAAAACCAGAAAAGTAAGGAATCATGCTACTAAGTTGAATACAATGTAATATCATTGTTTAGGAGGTAATAAAAAATAAAATTACTTCATAGAACTACCATAGTATTGCATTAGAGTCACTGTGCTTCACGTTTCTGCTAACACTATATATTCTCATACTTTTAAATATCTGTTCACCAGAATTTCTGCTGTTATCTTGCTTTCATTTGTATTCTTTGATTTTTTTAATGAGGTTGAAATCTGTGTTCATATGTTTATTGGCAATTTGTATTTTTGTGTGATTTTTCTGTTCATGGCCTTTGCTCATTTTTTTAATGTTAATTTTTTCCATTGATTTGTAAGAGACCTTTACAAATTAAGAGTTTAACCATTTGACGTAGAGGGTGGGGCAAAAGTAGGTTTATAGTTGTTCATGTGGAAAATAATAACATAATAGATAATACAAGAATAAACTGTTTTGCATATTCAACTATAAACCTTCTTTGGCCTCACCCCGTATGTTGCAAATACATTTTCCTAGATTATCTTTTAATTTTATTTATGTTATTTTAACCTATACAAGTATTTTTTCTCAATCTTTAATTTTGTGACTTCTTCTGTGACTTTTATTCTTAAAAAAGCTTTTCTAATCCCATGATCAGATATATATTTTTTTAATTTTATGCTTTCTGGTTTTACTTTAACTCCATCTAGAATTTTTTTGGTATGGGGTATGGCATAGAATTAATGCTTTCCTTCAAATACTGTTCAGGGAAAATTTTCTTCTCCACATGATTTCAGATTTTAAGTGTGAATTGAGCAAATTTCTCATTGCTTTTATAATAATAGCTATCAAGAAGCTGATATTTAAATTGTACACACTTCTGTGTTTTAATTTGTGTTTATCACTCTCAGTAAGAAAGATTTTTTTCCCCCTGTTTAAGGAAATAAACAAGAGCCTTGCTCTATCAAGAATTTTTTCTTTTTTTAATCCTCACCTGAGGACATTTTTGCATTATCTTCAGATAGAGCAGGAGGGAGAGAAGGAGAAGAGAGAGAGAGGGAAACATGGATGTGATTCACACATTGACTAGTTGCCACCCATACAACCCCAACCAGGTCCAGGGACAAACTGCAACCTTGGTACGCGTGCCCTTAGCGCCCTTAGCAGGAACTGAACCTGGGTCTCTCTGGTCCGCGGGCTGACGCTCTAACCGCTCAGCAAAACCAGCCAGGGCTCTATCAAGAATTTTTAAAAGAACTTTATTGAAATATAATTCACATAACGTACAGTTCATCCACTTACAGTATACAGTTCAATGATTTTTATTATATTTGGAGTTATGCAACCATCATTTTTGTCAAGAATTTAGATATTACTTACATTAAAAATGTTACATGCAAAATTTGCATGATGTTTTACAACAGGAAACAGGAAATGCTGCGTTGGAATCCTTTTAAATGATCATTTAGAAATTGTTATACTTTTACATTTTATATTTGTTTTTTCGTATATTTTGTTTAGGGCTATTTCATATGATTCTATTTTTATATTCCCCAGATAATTTCTGAGTTTTTTAAAAATCATTTTCACAATTTCTAACTATCATGACATAAGGTATAATTCCTGGTAAGAGTAAATATATTCAAGCGAATAATCCTTAGAAGAAAAAGTTACTATAAACATAAGATTAAACATTCATAATAAAAATATGTTAGTGTTTTATATTATTTAATTGAATATACTTAATTTAGACCATTGTATAAACATTGGTCATAAAAATTTTTTAAATCTTTTATTGTTGAAAGTATTACAGATGTTCCCCCTTTTTTTCCCATTGACCCCTTTCTTCCTGCTCCCACCCCTGTCCTGCCTTCCCCACACTATTGTCTGTGTCCATTGGTTATGCATATATGCATATAAGTTCTTTGGTTTATCTCTTCCCACCCTTCCCTCTGAGGTTTGTCAGTCTGTTCCCTACTTCCATGTCTCTGGATTGATTTTGATCATCAGTTTATTTTGTTTATTATATTCCATAAACAAGTAAGATCATGTGGTCATAAAATTATACATAAAACATGGGCCCTGTCTCAAAGGTTGAATAAGATCAAATGTAGATAAGACTGCTTATAGTGAGATCATTCATATACATGTGTAGACAATGCTAATATATTGAAATAATATTCGTTAAATGATTCAAGTAAAGACCATCATATGGAACTTGCTAGAAATTTAAATATTTTTTATTTTTATTTTCTTCAATCGTCACCCGAGGATATACTTGTTAATTTTAGAGAGAGAGGAAGGGAAAGAGAGAGAGAGAAAAAGAAACATCAATGTGAGAGAGAAACATCGATCAACCACCTCCCGTATGCGCCCCAATTGGGGATCAAACCTACAACCTAGGTAGGTGCCCTGCCTGGGAATTGAACCCACAATCTTTCGATGCATGGGATGATGTTCTAACCAACTGAGCCACACCAGCCAGGGCAAAATTTAAATTTTTAGCCTAATTGTTTTATTTACTGTGAGGGATTTTTCCAGATACCTTTAAACTAGAACTCTGTTATTATAAATATAGCTAAAAAATAATTATTAATAGTTGAAAGGGAACTTTGCTTATTGAGAGTAATACAATTGACTTTTTCTTTAAAAGATAACCGATGGCCCTGGCCAGTTTTGCTCAGTGGTTAGAGTGTTGGCCTGTGGACCAGAGAGTCCTGGGTTTGGGTGCCCCGGTTGCAGTTTGTCCCCGGCCCCGGTTGGGGTAGTGTGGGTGGTAACAAGTCAATGTGTCTCTCTCGCATCGATGTTTCTCTCTCTCTCTTCCTCCCTCTCTCCTTCCCACTGTATCTGAAGATAAATGCAAAGAAATGTCCTTGGGTGAGGATTTTTTTAAAAAAGGTAACAGATGGACATGGTTACTTAAAAGAATGCTTTAGTCCTGGCCAGTTTGGCTCAGTGGTTAGAGTGTGGGCCTGCAGACCAGTCACAAGTTATTCCAGTTAAGGGCATGTACCTTGGTTGCGGTTCAGTCCCAGGCCCAAGTGGGGATTGTGCAGGAGGCAACCAATCAATGTGTCTCTCTCACATGGATGTTTCTCTCTCCTAAAAAAAAAAAAGAATGTTTTAGAAGGTTTAAGTAATACCCTTTTAGCCATGTTTTCTTTTTCCTCTCAATATCAAGAATGATTTGAGACTTTGTTTTGTTTTTATAACTGTCTTTTATGTATTTATTAAACAGAAGGGAGGATGATTTCCACCATACCTAATAATTCCCTTTATATCCTTTAAATGTATTGGTCTGCTTCATAATCAAGTATAATCCAGATTAGTATGTTTTTTATAACAAGTTCCGTGTTATGAAGAGAGTTGAAAAATATGTCCCTACTGAATTACCCTTAGTGGTAAACTTTGTTGTAATCATAGTTGAATTGATGACATAGGAAGATTGGTAGTATTTTTGACATAGTAACATTTCATTATAACAAAACTTGACTTGCACATTTTTTTAGTTATAATTAAAAGTAAGGAAATGTCTATATTATGGAATAGCTTTGAATCTGGGTGAAACTATTACTTGACCTTTCAAGTTAGTATACTAAAATACCTATCCAGAAATACATTTGGCGTACAGCTTAGTACTTAGCCCTTTTATACCTCCTTAATTAATGACATCACTCTTCACTCAGGTATCTTTTAAAGCCAGAAACTTGAGGTCTTCTCCATTTGTTCTTCTTTATCCCTCATAATCTAGGAGCTCACTAAATACCCCTTATTTTTCCCTCTAAATTGTTTTCTAAAATTATAAGTCTGATCATTTCTACCCTCCACCCATGTAAACCTTTTATGGTCTTCAGTGCCCTTGAAAAGAAGCCCAAACTATTTAGAATGCCATATCGGCCCTTTATAGACTGGCCCATTCATTCAACATGCATTTCTTATTTATGTGTGCTCCGCCAGGCACTGAGTTATAAGGTGAATAAGGTCAAACCCTCTAGGAGCTCACAGATTACTGAGAGATAACATTGGAGAATGTATATAATGAAAGGATTGGTCAATGAAAACCAAGGAGTGTGAGGGAGATCTGTTAAGGAGAAGAGGATTATTTTGGTTGTGTCATGTAAAAAGCTAGGAAAGAATGACTGAGTCAAATGCCTTAAAAATGACCAAGAGAATGACAACTCTTAACACATTCAACTTAATATGTGGACCCTCTGTCTATTGTGCAAATACTAGGGAATTTAGTTGGGTCACCTTTGCAGAAAGACATTAGGAAGAGCAACTTAGAAGAGCATATAGGTTTTGGTTCTTTTTCTATTAGTTTTCTGGTGCTCCTGGCTCATTAATACAAGTTTATAAGCCTTTACCTTTAGGATTTGTTATATATGTGTGTCCAAAAAATAACTTTTTTCTTCTTTACCTTTGCCTTCTTATTTATGATCTAAAGCAATATTTTAGAATGAGTGTGGTGATCTGCTGCTTAACAAAGTAATTTGGTTTTAGCATCTGTAAATCTCTAGTGGTTTGAAAAGATTTTCTGACTGTCTTTTTTTTTTTTTCAGCATACTTCTTGATGAAGAAGGTCACATCAAATTAACAGGTAAAATTCCTCATTTTATTAAAATATTTTCTTCTACTCTCTCTATAAATTTCCTTTAAGATCAATCATGGGATTGGATTAGAAATTTTTAATAATCAATTTAGATATTGGAACTCAAAGTTTAAACTTTGCATGTGCAAAATATTATAGGATATTTATGAATTTTGTATTTATTTTGTCAGATTTTGGCCTAAGTAAAGAGTCTATTGACCATGAAAAGAAGGCATATTCTTTTTGTGGAACTGTGGAATATATGGCTCCAGAAGTAGTTAATCGTCGAGGTCATACTCAGAGCGCGGACTGGTGGTCTTTTGGTGTGTTAATGGTAAGGTTTGGGGTGCCTTTTTTTTTTAGAAGTTTAGTAATGTAGAGAGTAGAAATATAACTCACATGGTTTATTATGTAGCAATTTTAGAAGATATGGTTGTAATTAAAATGATGCTCTCTTATATTCCGGCCTTAATATTTTATACTTGTTGACTGATACCTCTGATTATTTTGCCTTTTTGTAGTTTGAGATGCTCACTGGTACACTACCGTTCCAAGGAAAAGATCGAAAAGAAACAATGACTATGATCCTTAAGTAAGTACTCCCTACTATGTTTTGATGAGATTTAATAGTAAATGTTTTAAGCTAAAAATAAGATTTTAGAGTGTTGGCTATAGTATAAAAAATAACTAAGAAATTTATCAACATTATGACATTAGTTATTATGTGACTTAAATACAAATAAACTCCATAGATTTAGAGTACTCATATTATGTTCGTGTTAATGGTAAAGTATTGAAAGCTTTACCTTTGAGATTTGGAATATGACAAGGATGCCCATTATTTCCCTTCTGTTCACATTGTCCTGGAACTACTAGCAAGTACAGTTAAGGCAAGTAAAAGAAGTAAGGTTTAAGGTTTAATGAAGAAATAGAATTATTATTATTTAGATAACATGATTGTGTCCATAGAAAAATCCAAATCTTCATATAAAGTCTTGGAATTAATAAGAGTTTAGCAAATTTGCTGGATTAAAGGTCACTAAAATTTGTTTCATATTTGTATACAAGTAACTGAAATGCTGTTTATAATAGTATAAAAGTATCAAATACCTAGGGATAAATCTAGCAGAAGTTATGTAAGAACTCTACAGAGCCCTGGCCGGTTTGGCTCAGCGGTTAGAGCGTCGGCCCGTGGTCCTGAGAGACCCGGGTTCGGTTCCCGCTAAGGGCGCGTACCTCGGTTGCAGTTTGTCCCCGGCCCTGGTCGGTTGTGCGGGTGGCAGCCACTCGATGTGTCCCTTTCACATCGATGTTTCTCTCTGTTCCTCTCTCTCCCTCCCACTCTACCTGAACAAAAAATGGAAAAATTTCCTCGGGTGAGGATGAAAAAAAAAAAAAAAGAACTCTACAGAAAACTAGAAAATTTTATACCTTGAAAGTATCATCCTAAGTGAAACAAGCCAAACAGAGAAAGACAAGGTTTCATATGATCTCACTTATTTGTGGCATATAATGAACATAACAGTCTGAGAAATGGGGTAGTCCCAGAGACACGGAAGTGGGGTACAGACTGACAATCCCCTAAAGAGGGGGGTGGTGGGGGAGAGATAAACCACAGAACTTATATGCATGTGTGCATGAACAGTGGACATGGACAACAAACTGGGGACAGGGCGGGGAGGGAGAGAGAGGGGGGAATCAGTGGGGGAAAAAGGAGAAACATCTGTAACAAAAATTAATTAATAAAAAAAAAGAGAAATACCTTGGGTTTGAGGCACACTGCAGCTATCATATAAATGTTAAGTAGAAATAATATTTCCTGTATCCTTAATAGGATTGGGCAAATCCAGATGTATATTGTACTTTTCACATATTTCAAAATATTTTCAAATGTTTTTGTTTGGGTTCAATAAAAACCTCAAGTACGTTTTGCAAAAAAAAAAAAAAAAATTTAAAAGACCAAAATAATATGAAAGGTTGTACTATATTTATATTACAGACCCAGGGTTATAAAAATGTGGATTCTATAGATCAATGTTAACCAAAGAAATATAATGTGAGCCACATACATAATTATAAATTTTCTAGTAGCAATATTACTAAAGAAGAAAATTAAGATTGTTTTTACATAGCTATGCACTGTATAACAATGTTTCAGTCAATGACAGACCTCATATATGATGGTGGTCCCTTAAGATTATAATGGACCTGAAAATTCCCGTCACCTAGTGACATCATAGCCATTGTATTGTAGTGCCACATTACTCAGGTGTTTATGGTCATGCTAATGCACTACCTGCCGTTCATATAAAAGTATAGCACATATAATTATGTGTACTATATATTTACCATTGTATTATAATTGCCTATAGTATTCAATAGAGTAGCATGCTGTACAGGTTTGTAGCCTTGGAACAATAGGCTATTCCACAGATCGTAAGTGTGTAGTAAGCTATACATACATCTAGGTTTGTGTAAGTGCACTCTATGGTGTTCGCACAGTGATGGAATTGCCTAATGACACATTTTTCAAAACACTTACTGTCTTTAAACCACTCAAGACTGTAATATATTTTATTTGACCCAGTATATCCAAGACATTATCATTTCAACATGTAAGCAACATTAAAAATGACTAATGATGCCCTGGCCAGTTTGGCTCAGCGTTAGAGTGTCGGCCAGCAGACCAATGAGTCACGGGTTCGATTCCAGTCAAGGGCACAAACCTCAATTGCAGTTTGTCCCCGGCCCTGGTCGAGGTCGTGTGGGAGGCAACCATCTCTCTCATGTTGATGTTTTTCTCTCTCTCCCTTTCTCTCCCTCCCACTCTATCTGAACATAAATAGAAAAATATCCTCGGGTGAGGATTAAAAAAAATCACTAATGAGATATCTATTTTTTCTCATACTTATTTGAAAATCAATGTGCATTTTACATTTACAATATGGGCTAGCCACATTTCAAGTGCTCAGTGGTTGCATGTGGCTAGTTCCTACCATATTGGACAGCATAACTATAGTTTAAATGCAAATCAGATGTATATACTAACAAATTTTTTGTGTGGATCTTGATTCTAATATGATAATACAAAGCACCAAAAATAGCTAAAACACTCTGAAGAAGATTAAGATAGGGAGACTTGCTTTATTTACCAAGTGTCAAGTTTTACTATAACTGTAATTAGGAAATATGGCATTGAAACAAATATAGAAAATAGACTTATGAAGTACAATAGAGAACCCAGTAACAAACCTAAACATATATGGACACTTGATTTACAACCATTGGAAATTGCAGATCCAGAGAGAAAGAACAGCTTTTTAAAATAAATCCTACTGGCCCAACTAGTGTGGCTCAGTGGATTGAGTGTCATTCCATGGACTGAGAGGTCCCGGTTCAATTCCCAGTCAGGGCACATGCCCGGGTTTCAGGCTTGATCCCCAATAGGGGACGTGCAGGAGGCAGCCGATCAATGTTTCTCTTTCACATCAATGTTTCCATCCCATCCTTTCTCTCTAAAAAAAACAATAAAAACATATTTAACAAAATAAAATAAATCATGCTGGAAAAATTGGTATTCATGTAGAAAAAGATAAAACAACCTGTCTCACACCATACACAAAAATCATTTCCAAGTATATTACATGAATAGAGATGTGTGTGTGTGTACACACACACTCACATACGTGTTTATGTAAAACGTCAAAAAAGATTCTAGCCCAGGCCGGTTTGGCTCAGCGGTTGGAGTGTCAGCCTGCGGACCAGAGCGTTCTGGGTTCGGTTCCAGTTAGGGGCACGTACCAAAAAAAAAAAGAGGATGGGAGAATATCTTCATGACCTTGGGGGTAGGAAAAGTAGTCTTTAGACACAAAAAGTACTAGCTATAAAGGAAAAGATTGATATGTTATTACTACATTAAAATTAATTAATAACTTTTTCTCATTAAAAGAGTCCATTAAGGCCCTGGCTGGTTTGGCTCAGCGGTTGGAGCGTCGGCCCGTAGACCAGAGAGTCCCAGGTTCAGTTCCCGCTAGGGGCATGTACCAAAAAAAAAAAAAAAAAGATTTCATTAAGAAAGAGTAGAAGAAAACTGTGACACATATGATCCACAAAGGGCTTATATCCAGAATATAGAAAGAGCTCCAATCAATCAATAAGGAAAAGACAGCCTAATAGAAACATGGGTAGGAGACTTAGGGACTTCAGTGGCTAATAAACTTATAAAAAGATGCTCACCCTCATTAATCGGAAAATGCAAGTTAAAACCACAACAGACTACAGCTGCATACCGACCAGAATGAGTAACAGTAACGCTGATAATACAAAGTGCTTACAGGGTATGGAGCAGTGGCAACTTTTGTACATAGCTGGAAGGAATATAAATACTTAAATAACCACTTTGGAAAGCAGTTTTTGGCACTATCTTCTAAAGTCAAATATATATACATACACCCTCATCCAATAATCCCACTTTTAGGCATGAACCCAACTTACATGCATCAAGGTACTTGCACTTCAAAAAATAAGCCCAAAGATGTTCACAGTGGTATTATTTGTTATAGTCAAAAAGTGGAAAACTGGGTTGATCATTAGCCATATAATGGATTAATAAATTATGGTATGCTCATACAGTGGAATACAAGTGGGGTTGACAAACACTACCTGTAAATATTTTAGGCTTTTCAAAAAAAATATTTTAGGCTTTTCAAACCACACACACACTCTCTGTCACATATTCTTACTGTTTATATTTAGTTTCTGATACTTCAAAAATGTAAAAACCATCCTTAGCTTTAAAGCCATATAAAAACAGGCTGAGACCTTTAGCCCGTGGGTGTAGTGTGCCATATAGCAAAGAAAATGAACAAACCACAGTTATATGCAACAACTTGGGTAAATGTCATAAGAATGTTGAGCAAAGACAGTTCAGACACAAAAGAATGATGCTATTTGATTCTATTTATAAAAGTTTTAAAACAAACTAAAGCCTAGTCTTTAGGGTCCATATTTAGATCACAAAAGCCTTGGGCAAAATAAGGGAAGTGGTTACATTGGATGAGGCGTTCTGGCAATGTTATAGTTCTTAGTCAGATGACTGTTCACTTTGTGGTAAATCATTGAGCTGTGTATTTTGAAGAAAAACGACAACTTTTTTTTTTTACCTGCCTTGTCTTCCAAATTTTTGCACCATCTTCCTGCATCCTTTCAACACAAAGCCTCTTTAAAGAGTAGTCTTTCTGTTACCATTTTTGGGCTGCTTTTATTTAATTTTCTTTTTCTTTTTCAATTTTTATTAATTTATTTTTGCTACAGATGTTTCTCCTTCCCTCCCCCCAAGCACCCTCCTCCCCATCCCACTCCCTGACCCCCCAGCATTGTTGTCTATGTCCATTGGTTAAACTTATTTGCATATAAGTTCGTTGGTTCATCTCATCCATCCTCCTCCCCACCCCCCTACTCTGAGGTTTGTCAATCTGAACCGTACTCCTTTCTATGTCTCTGGGTCCATTTCATTCATCAGCCCACCTTGTTTGTTATATTCCACAAATAAGTGAGACCACATGGTATTTGTCTTTCTCTGATTGGCTTAAT